AGGGGCCATCGCTGAGCGAATGCTCCAGCGATGGCCCAGAGCGCCTCGTTAAGCGATTTCATCGCTCAGCGAGGCGCTCGTTAAGCGAGGCACCACTGTATTAAAAAAAACCTTATGTCACATATCAAATTGTAAAGTTAACTTTCAATTTCTCTTCCCTCAACCTAACCTTGGATGCAACAAAACATTTTGGATTTTGCAGATGGCCATTTGAGACTATTATGGCATAAATTTAATCCAACATAGACATTTTACTGAAAAAGACTTTGCAAAAGTGGACCCTCTTGAGATGTTTACAGTGACGTTTGTGGTTTGAGAGCATGGAAGGAATAAAGGTTGATCACAAACTAAGCTTGGTTTATGGAAGATATCTTTTGATTGACAATAGGCCAACTAGGCTTAGGATTCTCAGAATTCATGGACTATAGGCCTTTGAGAGAGAGAGAGCTTAATGGGCAGAGACTACCACACCCATAATCTCCTGTAACTCCCAGAGATCTTAGCCCTGCCCACTCGTTCTCCACAAGATAAAATGGCTGTTGAAGTCTAAATTCATTACTGCATATAGCCACTGCAATTGGGAGTCTTATCTTTTGTGAATATCCAACTCTCACTTAAATTCATCTTAGTTGGTGGCTGTCACTGTGTCTTGTAATAGTGATTCTCATGGTCTAGGAATTAAAATCGAAGCACATGAAATTTGACATAAGGCAGGAAGACCTAGGGCTGGAGCCATCACCGCAGAAAACCCCATCCCTTGTTGCAGTCGGCCTCTTTATCTTGTGAAGGAAGGAAAGGGTCCCTAACAGACAGTTCTGTTTCAAGGACAGTAGGTAAGCTTTTACTAAAAATGTTCCTAAAGTAGATTCACAGCTCAGTGTGTTTTCACAGAACTCAGACCTGAAAGATAACAGCAAGAAATCCCATGGTAGACTGATGAGCAACTTTGGTAAACATAAGGTAAGCAATGCCAAACTCTCTATTCATCCATCTATCTGCTACATTTAACTACAGTATGTTGGCCAAAATCTTGTTCTGCAAATCTTGTTTATAATTAAAAAGTTCTTGCTCCTAACCCAGGGATAACTTGATTAATGTGCAATGAGACTGATTACATGTGAATTGGATGAGTTCTGGGATGGAAGTAAAGACTCTTTAATTACTGGCAGTCAGTCACCCCTTGCCAACAATGTTATCACCCTTATGCAAATGTAATTTATGGAACAGGATTTTGGCCACTGTTACCTTTACATTCCACAGGAGTTCTTAAATTATCGCTGTAGGATGGTAAGTTTTGCCAGTTCTCTTCTATGCATATGGTATGTTGTTATGGTATATGCCTTCAAGATGGAACTGTCTTATAGCAACCCCAATTGGCCTTTCAAGATCAGGGAGACAGTTAAGGAGTGGGTTTACCAGTTCCACTCCCCCCAATGAGGGGGGGGATTCAAACCCAATGGATGTTTTAGTTTTTGAAAAATTTAGCTGCCTGCAAGGACATTTTGTGTGTTCTATATGTATTTTATATGTGAACATCTTTCAGATTAAGGATTCAAGAAGAGAAATTCATAAGCTGAGTTTTTCCTTCGGTCCATACATGAATTCTACAAATAGAGCTTTCATTTGCTAATTGACTCTGTGAACAATTGGTGTCCCCAACATGCTGTGTAGAAAAATGCTTATTGGAAAAATCAGCCTCAGAAAAAAATGTAACAGTTACTATTTTCAAGGCTGTGAAGTATCTCAATTGTATAATAATTTCATTTGTTTTGTTTTCTTCACTATGAATGAAAAGTAGAAAAAGTGTATTAAAACCCTTGCAGATAATAATTAAATTAACTTTAATGATAATCTAAACTTTAGAGAACTTTGATTTTGTGGGCTTCCAGAAACAGAAATATTAGTGATTTTACAGGAAATTGTGCATATACACAATTATCCGCTTGATAGTTGGGTGTTTTTTTAGGCTTGCTGCAGAGTTGCATGAATTTTCAAAGACAGCAAAAGAATCTGTTGAATTTAGTTGCTTTAACAGAAATGTCTATTTGTGTGTGTTTTAAATGTTTACCTATATTTCATATACAACCATAATTTTAAACTGTGAAACTTCTAATATGAATAAAGAAAGAATCTAGTTTACTCTTGTGTTAACTAACTTTTTCTTCTGAAACAGAAGGCAGTTAAACCACGATCAAAATTGCAGAGCACATCTGATGATGAGGATTCTCAGCAAAACTGTTCTACAAAGGAAACTGGACAGTTATGCAGGTTAATAATTGCCCTTTCTTCCCACTGTCTTACTGCTAAATTGTACAGTTCCTTGGTGTATAAAATTTTCCCTGCAAAGTAAGAAGCAATTGCTGTTTTTGAATGCATAGTAGCAATATTGAAATACCTTGTGTATGTGGAAGGAAGAAGCTGAACAAATTATGTGAAAAAAGCTGAACAAATTATACTGTATGTCTAAATTTTTTATGCTAGCGAATATGATGAATAAAGTATACATTTGTTGCAGATACAACTGTGGCTTTTGAAATGTTTCTGGTGCATCTTGCCATTGCTTAAAAATATACAGTAACTGGTCTATGTCCAGAGTCTACAAATATTATTGAATAGTTATAAATACAAAGTGTAGTTATGTGAAAGAAAGCAAAATACAGAGGTCAGAAATGGAGTCTTCCAAACTGATGATTTCCACCAAGCCTACTTCTCAATTTTCTCAACAATTTTCATGTCTTTTTTTTTTAAAAAAAAATCATACAGTCTACTCAAGTAATAACTATTGTTTAAGAACAGATCCATGCATGTATAAGTATCTCTTCTTGATTTAATGGGTAAAAACATGGCAGAATGAATAGTTGACAGTTCTATCTGCTTGCAGAAAACTTTTGTTTTATATTACCTTGTTTAATGTTATTCCGCAGGTTGGGACGGCGGAGAAAAACGATGAAGCTGTGCCGCGAACTTTCTGATTTAGTGGTATACACAAATTCTGTGGCAGCTCAAGACATTATTGATGATGGTAAGGTTGTGGGTGAATACTTCAGCACTTTTTCTTCCTTTTGTGGGTATATACGTATTTACTACTGTGTAAGAAATGAACACATACTTGTCTAGTTGAATTTCTTTTGTGTTAGCAGTGTTGAAGTGAGTGTCAGTTGCATGGCATTTTAGCTATTGTACAACTATCCATCCATTCCTCCATTTATCCATTCATTCAAAAGACATTTGGGTTCCAGTTCTCTGCACCCAAGGCCTAAAATGCAAAAAATCATTTTGCATGCTATGATTCTTCTTTTAAGTCTTAAATATGACAATGGGACAAGACATCAGACAGCATGGTCCGAGTTAAGTGGTGTAAGCTTATCCTAGTTTTTTGTTTAAAATGATGCTTAGATGCTGTGTTTGAGGCATTTCCCAGACACTTAGGTACTTGGTTCTTGTACAGACAGAAAGCTCGGAGCTCACAGTTTACCAGAATAGAAAACCTACTCTTAGCTGCTTTTAATAAACATTATATCCATCCGCTATTCTTGCAGTGAGGAACTTTAACACATCTGAAGACTAATGGCCTCCCTCTTCAGACCTGCTGTAGGCCACCCATATCCTCCTGCTGAAACCAAAACTGAAAAAAAGTCTACTTCCAATTTCAGAAACTCTTCATTTTTAACAATAACAAGTTGTGAGGGGGGTGGGACACACTTTTAAAAGGAAGCATTTTCTCACTGTGGGCAAACAGTCAAGGGGCCTTCATGTTGTCTACCCCTTCTCCATACAGACTGCTTTGTCTCTGTCAAATGTAGATGAGTTTTCTTGCATCATCTTGCAGACAATTATTTAATTATAATTTGATGGACCAAGAAATCTTGCTGCTTATAGGAAGGGAACGAAATTATAATTCTGTTCATAAAATTTGTTTCATTTACCTTAAAATGGTAAAAGGGAAAGATTCATGATTTATCTACATCTGACCCATTTCAGACAATAAAGTCATAATGATTCAGAAGTGGTCAGAGTTGTCCACCACCAGCTGTTTCTAAACCAGATATAGGTAGCCAGATATTTTGCCTACAACTCCCACAATCCCTTTCAATTATCCAGACTGTGTGGGGCTTATGGGAGCTAAAGTCCAAAATACTGGAGGGGCTGCCTGGCTTTTATCCCTGTTTTAACTAAACGTTAGTAGACCTGCTATTTTGGGGAAATTAGCACATCATAGAAACCGAGCCTTGGTGCTGGAGAAATGTGACTGATAGTCACTAAAGTATGTGAAAATAAGTTTTAGACTTTTTCACAGAATCCACAGTGGCACAGTTGTGTGAGCAGGTGTTTGGACTTGATGGCTTTATAGACCCCTTACAACTCAATTATTCTATAGTTCTGTGTATAAGTTACCAAATAAGTTACCAAAATTTCAAATATGGACATTTTAATATTTTTTTTACAAAATGATAATATTAGTTTTTCTGCATCTCTTCATGTCTGAATGAATGAATTCAACATTAAAACCAGTAAGATCATTGTAACATTCTGAGGTGCAGATGAGAGTGACTAAAATGATTACTGGGGCAACTCCCTTATCAGGAAAGGCTACAGCATTTGGCGCTCTTTAGTCTAGAGAAAAGGCGCCTGAGGGGGGACGTGAATGAGACTTATAAAATTATGCAGGGGATGGAGGAAGTGGATAAAGAGAAGGTGTTTTCCCTCTCACACAATACCAGAACCAGGGGACATCCACTCGAATGGATTGTTTGGAGAGTGAGAACAGACAAAAGAAAATATTTCTTTACCCAGTGTGTTGTTAGTCTGTGGAACTCCTTGCCACTGGATATGGTTATGGCAGCTGGCCTAGATGCCTTTAAAGGGCGATTGGACATATTCCTGGAGGAAAAGTTCATCACAAGCTGTGATGGGGCTGTATAATCTCCAGGCTTAAAAGGAAAGTATTTCAAAATGCCAGATCCAGGAGACAGGTATCTAGTTGTCTCCTGTGCTCCCAGAGGCATGTGGTGGCGCCACTGTGAGATACAGGAAGCTGGACTAGATGGGCCCTTGGCCTGATCCAGCAGGGATCTTCTTATGTTTTTATGTTAACATGGATTCTGAGTTTGCAGTTTTTGTTTCATGATCTGCCCTACTCTCAATAGGTGATGTTGGAGTAAATTACCTTATCAGGTAACAATGGGAGTTTATGGTGTGTAGGTAATGAAAATATTCACAAGTAAAAAATGGATTGCAATATCCTTCCCTAACCTGATGGCCTCCAGATCTGATCTGGCAGAGTATAGCTCTGTCATCTCCAGTTGGCACAAGCAGGTTGGCTTGGGCTGATGGCTGCTGTAGTTCAACACATCTCGGAAAGCCTGGGCTAAATCATCAATTGTCACTACAGGCTTAAGTGCTTAAAAACTATCATTATGCTCTGGGAAATGGAGAAGTGGCAGCTGGGTTGCTTTGGATGGGGAGGTGGGAAAGTGACTTCTCAACCATGTGCAAACTGGGATATGTTACTTTTAAATGGCTGATTGTAGCCTTCCCAATGCAATTTGTCATGTGTCCTTAAGCTGCATAGTACTGAAAAGATGACTGGCAAATGTCTTAAATAAATCATAGATGACCTTTAGAAACATCTCAGACCGTCGGGGTTTGGTGGCACAGTTTGTAGCAGTGTAACACATCCCCTGTGCCCATTATTTGCAATGGCCATGGAAGCATGAGTAACTTATATCCAGGCCAAAAATAAGAATAAAAGACTGGAAAAGGGACAAGCAAAGGGCTCCTTTGATATATAGCTGTTTCTTCCAAACCCAAGTAGATTGGCCCCAGCAAAAATGGCTGTAATCAAAGTCACCATGGCGGTGCAAAGCAGATAAAGATAAGCAATACCAACAGTAATACCATAAAAACCCATAGTCACATATAAAGCCATGTCAAAATATGACAACTAATTTTGAATGTAAGACTGGAAAAATTACAAAAGACAAGGAGTGAAACCTAACGCTGTAGGGAGACCATTCCATAGTTTGGAACTGATACAGCAGCAAGCGATTTCACATATATCCATTGTGAAATTTGGCATCTCTGAGCTACTGTTAACCCAAAAGCATTTCTGTTATAGATCTTAATCACTGTACTGTTCATAATGAGAAAGACAATCCTATACAGTTGTGCCCCGCTTGACGATTACCCTGTTTAACGATGAATCTGCTTCACTATGATGTTTTTTGCAATCGCAAAAGCAATCACAAACGATGTTTGAATGGGTTTTTTTCGCTTAGCGATGATCAGTTCCCTGCTTCGGGAACCGATTTTTCGCTAAACAATGTTTTTTCAACAGCTGATTGATGGTTTTCAGAATGGCCGCCAGCTCTCAAAATGGCCCTCCGCTGTTTTTAGGAGGCATTTTCCGTAAGACAGGCACCGGAAAATGGCCACCCTATGGAGGATCTTCGCTTTACAATGAGGTATTTTGCCCATTAGAACGCATTAGCTGGTTTCTAATGCATTCTAATGGGCTTTTTAATTTTGCTTGACGAGGATTTCACTTAACAGCGATTTCAGCGGTACGGATTATCCTCGTCAAGCGAGGCTCTGCTGTAGTTAATTACCTCCTGAGCAATTTATGACATTCAAAGTTAAAATCGATGCCTTGAACCAAGTCTGCAAATCAACTAGCTATCAGTTCAGATCCTTCTTGCCCAAAATCAGTTTATGGTGTTGTTTCCTCAACTTTATCATCTCCTCTGTCTCCAGCTTTAAAATCATTTGGGTACTGCCTGCAGAAAGTGGTGCAGCTGTGTGATGAGCAGTTTTTGCTGCCCTTCATGTTCTTCTCAGAATTAAATCAGTGACAGCTAGCACCATTGGGCAGTTTTCAGCCTATAAAACTGACATATTTCCACTGAGCAGCCCGTGGAGTTTGGAAGTGACACTTTTTTTGTTCAGGGATAGCCTTTAATTAGAATACCTGTCCCTCAAGAAGAGTGATGGGTAGGAATAAATGTCAAGAGTAGCTATACTGTAGCCATGTTATGCAACTTGGGATTCAAACCTGCTTCAGTCAAGGTTGGCATGACAAATGCCGATTTAGGCAAAATGATATTTTGTCCTTGATGAGTACCTTCAGAACACCAGACAAAACGGAGCTGCAGAGAAGCCAGTGGGTCCTTCCAAAGAGTAAAGGCACTTTGTGGAACCGAGCTGAAGGGATCTGAGTTGTTCAACATAAATCTCTTGTTTCATTAATCAGGGCTGTATGTGTCTTTCAATTTCTGTGGCTACTTGACATGGGGTAAGAAGCCTGGGAATAGACAAAGAATTTGCAGTCTGTGGTTTTCATTCCCATCAACCCAAAAAATAAAAGGGCATGTTCGAATCCTAGTCAAACTCTTTTAAGTTCAATATATTCGCGAAGGCTTTCACGGCCGGGATCTAATGGTTGTTGTGGGTTTTTCGGGCTCTTTGGCTGTGTTCTGAAGGTTGTTCTTCCTAACGTTTCGAAAGAGTGTTGTCCTCTGAAGATGCCAGCCACAGAGACTGGTGAAACATTAGGAAGAACAACCTTCAGAACACGACCAAAGAGCCCGAAAAACCCATAACAACCATCTTTTAAGTTCCATTGATGTTATTGAGAGTTAAACCCAAGCTCACCTCCCTTTCGCTGAAATTAATATGACAAAACATTGGGTTTTGAGGTTTCAGATCCTTACGATTGCAAAGATGTGTTTGTAACTATGTTAACAGTATTTCCTAAAATCTCAGACCTGTAGGAAGAGGCCCAGAAGGTGAGGCTTCTGTCCCTTAGCCTTCACCTAAGCTGTTACATTTAGAAATGCTGGAGGGGTGTCACTATTAAAGCAGATAATAGAATTCTAAGATTTTCACAGAGAAGGCGAATAATGATCTTCATTTGCTCACACTGACAGTCAGACTTGATTGGCTGTGCAGCATAATGTGATTGTTGATTGCCCAAGATCATAGTGCATGTGACTCTTTGCAAATAAAATCAAAGCAGCACTTTGAAGGATGGACTAGCTGTTGGTGGAGAGCCAAACAAGAGTGGAAATTGGAAAGGAAGGTAGACTTTGAGAGTAACTTCTCCATTTCTCAAAGGATGATTTCATTACATGGGTGGTAATATTTGGTCCACTAGATATTTTGGACTTTACTCCCGAAGTCTCTTACCACTGGTCAATTGGAAAGGAAGGTAGACTTTGAGAGTAGCTTCTTCACTTCTCAAAGCATGATTTCATTACAAAATTGTGTGCATGTATAGATTTGGTAGAGAGATAGCCTTTTTTTGGTCTGTTTTGTATATAACATTAATTCTTGGGTGGTAATATTTGGTCCACCAGATATTTTGGACTTTACTCCCGTAGTCTCTTACCACTGGTTGTGCTGACTGGGATTTGGGGTGGTGATGGTTTGAAACCAAAACATTTGAAGATACAAAGATTCCCATCCTTGGTGAACTTCTTTTCCTTGGCATAATTTTCTTATGAACATGCAGGATCTATGGGGAACGTGTTATCCTTCAGTGAAACAAGAGCACACCAGGTGGTGCAGCAGAAGGCAGAACAATTTATGAATTATAATCAGAAACAGCTCACAAGAATCTATCCATCTGCATACCGGATTGACTCCAGCAACTTCAACCCTTTACCATACTGGAATGTTGGCTGCCAGCTGGGTAAGTGATGAAATGTACAGTATATGTGTGATACATGGGTATATATTCTGCCTTTCCTTTGCCCTGAAGTTAAGTGCAGTTCTGTTCTTTACCTTTTGTTGTCCCACGTGTTATTGGGCAGAGGGAAAACTGACTCTGGGTAGTTAGTATGCATGTCTAGAGTTGGGCACTGGGGCAGCAGTTCCATTAATGTGCTAAGGACTAAGTTCAAATGTTCTGCAGAATTGATAGGAGCACTGGTGGGAGGTTTTAATGCAGAGAGTTTGGTCTGCTTTCCTCTTCTGTAGAGAAGTCAGCAATTGTTAGGTTGAAAGACCTGATACTCGCTTCTTTCACTCCTTCTCCTCAGTCCACACCATCAGCTAGCACATATCCTTTTACCCTCAACTACTTAAGAATCCTAGCAATTTAGTACTGGTCTTCATGTTTGATTGGCATCTGTTGTAGATAGTGGGGGAGTTAATTGTACCATATACTTATATTAATTTTTTTGCAAGAGTTTAATTTGTATGAACAATGGGGATTCCATGGTCTCTAGATGTTGTTGGATTCCAACTCCCTGCAGCCCCAGCAGAGTGGCCCGTGGTCAGGGATAATGGAATTCAGGAGTCCATCATCCACAGGGCCACAGGTGCTCCATCTATACTTTAGCTCTATAGGCATTTCCACTTAAATAATATTTAGTGAAGATTGGGAAAGATCTTTTCCTGAGACCTTGCAAGACAGAGTGGTCAATGATCAGCCAAGGTGCCAAAATTTCTAATTCACCATACAGGATCGATTTCCTACTATGTATCTTAAGATAGCCAGTGCTGTGTAACTATAATTTTTTACAGGACCAAAGTCATTGTCATTAGTGGTAGGCAAGTGTGCCTCTTATATGAGGTGGTGAAATTCTTAATGTTGGGTGAAATTCTTAAAAAGATAATTTTATCAGAGCTCAGGAAATTGTACATATATTTGGACTGCAGTTCCCAGAACTGTCCATCCATTGCGGCCAGTGACCATGCTCACTGGGAGAATCTCAGAGCTGCCCCTTTAGAACATAGGTTTTGAGAGGTTCAGATTTACACTCTCAACTGTCGATTCCCTAAGCCCAGTATCTTGGTTTATTATGTGAGCTATGAATTTATTCTTCCTTTCAGCCTATTGAGCAGGTGAGACACTTCTCATTCCAGACATAGCACAATGAGGTAGCCTTGTTAGCTGCATTTTTGTTATGCAAGGGCAGTTGCAGGTGTTGTATTCTGTGCCTAAAACAGAATAGCATTGTCAAAGAAACTGCCACCGCTTCTGCTACATACCTGGTTCAAATCATGTATTTGATTAAAGTCCAGAAGACATCACAAAAAGGGGAAAGAAGCCAACATGTTCTAAGGCAAAAGCCATGTAGGTTAATGCTAGACTAAGACATTCATTGAGTTACTAGGGTGAACTGGATTAGACCCACTGAATCAATTGGATTTATACATGTATCGACTGAACTGCTCCACATTGGATTCGATGAATCTATTTAGTTGGGACTAACCATTGCATTTAAGCCTAAACTAGTTGAAATACAACTTAGTTTGATCCAACCCCATGTATATAAGAGCTGTACAAGTTTTCGTTAAGTGCAAGTGATGCAGAAGGTAACACAAAAATCTGCTATTTCCACAGTGGCATTAAACTACCAGACGGATGGACGTGTGATGCAGTTAAATCAAGCTAAGTTCAGGATGAATGGTAACTGTGGATACGTCCTAAAACCTCAGCAAATGTGCAAAGGTAGGACCATGCAATGCACTGGATACCCCTCTTGCTGTTAAACATTCCTTAGGTGAAACAGCCAGGCTCCAATATGTTCACTGATCTAATTGTAGCACTTTGTAGATGTTGAGGGCAAAGGTGATAGCATCAAGGAAACTGTTCTGGGAATGTGCTGAAGAAAAGGTATCAACACCTAAAATTAATACAGACTATCCAGAATGCAGTAATCCAAATCCCAGAGGAATTACATGAGCTAAACAATAGAACTGGGATTTTAAAGAGATATATATTACATGTGTTTATTATTGAGAACTAGACCTTTGAATTTCTGACTAGCGAACTCTGTGCAATGCTTATTGTGTAGGTTGGCAATCAGACACTGTCATGTCCTTGTTGTTGTTTAATCGTTAAGTCGTGTTCGACTCTTTGTGACTCCATGGACCAGAGCACACCAGGGCGTCCTGTCTTCCACTGCCTCCTGGAGTTGGGTCAAATTCACGTTGGTAGCTTTGATGACACTGTCTTTGATGAACCATCTCATCCTCTGTTGTCCCCTTCTCCTCTTGCCTTCACACTTTCCCAACATCAGGGTTTTTTCCAGGGAGCCTTCTCTTCTCATGAGATGGTCTAGAATGCCCTAAATTAAGAAACTGAAAAACTGCTAGGAATGGGAACAGAAAGAGGTCCATGCTGAATCAACTCAAAGGTCTATTTGTTCCGCATTATGTTTGCATGAGGGTGAATCAGATTCTCATGGGGTCTACTAGCAAGACATGAGTGTAACAGCCCTCTGTCTTCTACTACCTCTCTATTGATTGAGAGATACAGAAGCCTACTGTCTCTGAAGATAATACTTCACCATCCTTGTGAATAACTGGTGATTAGAGATGGGGGTATTCATATTTGTATACAAATATGAAGATCCCCACACAGCTGCAATTAACAAGGGTCTGGCTTCTGGGGCCTAACCATCCACTCACATGTCCTGCTGCATCTCCCGCTCATCCTTCCAATGTGGCCCAGTGTGCCCCTCTTTTCCCGCTCACCTGGACATTCCAGGCAGGGGGTGGGAGGACGACTCTCCCTGCATGGCTACTGAGTGGCCAGCTGAGCTGGAAGAGTGCACTGCTCCGGGCGTGATTGGAAGGATGAGTGGGTTGGTTGCCTTAGCAGGACATGTGAGTGGACAGTCTGGCCCCGGGGGCGGGTCGGACCCTCATTAAGTCCAGCTGTGGGGGGATATTCGTATACAAATATGAATACCCCCATCTCTACTAGTAATATTCTTAACTCTGAGGAAGTCACACCATTCCATTGTTAAATATTTCCATTCCAAATTGCCATTCATTGCTTGATGACTGTGTGTTTCTATATAGATGTCATGGACCATTTCTTATTTAAAGCATTTTACCTTTCTGCTCTCTTTATGTCATGCTCTAGGCACGTTCAATCCCTATTCTGCAGATCCACTTCCTGCTCTCCCTAAGAAGCAACTTATTCTCAAAATCATCAGTGGGCAGCAGCTACCTAAACCTCCAGATTCCATGTTAGGAGACAGAGGCGAGGTAAAGAAATATGGGTGATACATCATTAAGAGTTTTCACATCAACAAAGCTAAATATTTTGATTTATAAAAAGGACATAGATAAGTATGTGTGAATTCCCACTCTCTGGTATATGAATATTTATGATTCCTACAGCACTTGAAGGATATGCATGAGATATATGAACATCTGCTCCCTTAGCCTTGAATATGCTTCTTATTAATTCATAATTGGACCAAACCCTACATTTTGAAATGTACCACATGTATTTTATATCAATAATTTAGGGAAGCTTTCCTTAATAGTTTCTAGTGTTGAAGTTTGCAAGCCTCAGGAATGTGTCCCCCCACCTCTCCCCAAAGGGTTTCATAATATTCAGAATGCAAAAATAAATGATATGGTTTATAAGCAAAGGATGACTCGGCCTTCTATTCCTCTGAGGTCACTAAACTGAGTACCCATCTCACTTGAGGGAGCGGCAATGTGTAGCCTGCACAATTGCAAATCACCCAAAGAGCACTTTAAGCACTGTGAGGCGGTACATAAGAGTACACTTTGCTTCATTCTTACTTCTCTTTCCATGCTGGAGTTGACAACCTCATGTGCCCATGAGGTTATCTCCAGTCCATGGCAACCTGATGAATGAGTGATCTCCAAAATGTCCTATGGACTTGTAAATTCATGGCTTCCTTTTTGAGTCGACCCATTTGGTCATCCTCTGTTCCTGCTGCCTTCTGGTTTTCCTAGCATTATTGCCTTTTCCTGTGAATCTTGTCTTCTCATGATCTGCCCAAAGTACAATAGCCTCATTTTGTCATCTTTGCTTCTAAAAAGGCTTGTTGTGATTTAGGACTCACTTTTTTATCTTGCCACTGGTTCATGGTACAGCTCTCGTCCCGCAGTACATTTCAAACCTGTCAGCTTTCTTTACTGTCTAATTTTCACATCCATATGTAATGCTATACTAATAAAAATTAGCTTGAGTGTCACTACTCTTGACTGTGATAGGTCCTCTTCCAGTATCACTCTCTGCTACTGTTGTCATATTTTATCCATCATGCAACATTGGATGTCATATATAAACACATATAAACATCTGTAAATGCTAAGTGTCTTAGCCCAATGCTAGTTACTGTGATTTGCAGAATCTGATGAGATTCCCCCCATCTAACTAGAGGTCCTTTAAGTGGGAATGACAGAGATGTAAAGCAGAGATGGGGGTCCTGGAGCCCTCTGGATGATAATGATAATAAACCCCAAGTTCCATTATCCTTGACCATTGGCTATGTTGGCTGGGGTTGATGGGAGGTGGAGCAGCATCTGAAGGACCATGGTCACTCTATCCCATAATATTCTAGCGATCACACGTCTTGCATGTAATATGAACTCACAGCTCCATGAATATAGCCTTGGCTTGTTTCTAGATACCTGTTGATCTGAGTTAATCTCATGCTGTGTAAGATACTCAGCAAGATTGTGGCTGATGCATACACATTTACTTTGTGGTGAAACTCAGACCTCAGGTTTAACTTTTAGTGTGATGGTTTTGATCTAGCAGTAATACCATTGTACAATAATATATTGGTAAGGTAAGATTTTATTTTATATCCTTAGTTAAGAAAGATAATATGTTTGTTTAAGAAAAAGAAAGAATTATTTAAAATTCTGAGAAAAAAATTATGCTTCCTAAAATGTCTCAAGCAGATAATCGATCCATTTGTTGAGGTGGCAATTATTGGATTACCAGCTGACTGTTGCAAAGACCAGACCAGAGTGGTAGATGATAATGGTAAGAGATGCAGCTTAAAGTATATTGGAGTACATTTGGTGTTCATGATAGTATTGTTAATATTTTTTTCCATTATCACCGGGCGATATCACAATCTGCTATCAGTAATGAATGTTAAATTGTGGAATATGTTCTCTCAAAAAGATTCCACAAGGCATGCCATGACAGCTCAGAGACTAAGTCATCGTAGAGAATAGAATTGTGAACAATTCTGGAGGCCATCAGTCCAACCCAGTGCAGAATACAGCCACAGTACCCTGACAGATGTCTGTAAAGCTTCTGATTATGTCCTTTCAGCAAAGGAGAGATTACCACCACCTAAAATCATTTGTTTACTGTTAAGAAATGTTTTCCTAATGTTTAGCTATACCAGGCTTCGTTGGATTTTCTGTGCACCAGTTCTTGTCCTGCACGCTGGAATAATAAAAACCAAGACTCTGCCATCTTCTGTTTGAGTCCCTAAGACATCAAAGATAGTAGTAAATACTGTAGACAGAACCAGATTATCGTTTCAGCAGGTATGGTTGGTATTACTGATTTAGGTTGTAGTCACTGAAAACAGAGAAACCTCAAGTTCCTAAAAAGATGGAAAGAGCAGATGATGGGCCTGAATTTACTGCTTATCAAGAGTTATGAAAAAGGATAGCACCAAACAATTACTGCGTTTCTTTCACAAGAGTTGGGGGAAGCAGAGGTACTCTGCATTTTGTTTAGGTAGCACAACACTCAGAAACATAACCAACAAATGAGAAATGCCGGGGAAAATGTCATCTTGTTGACAAATGGCTATTGATTTCCTTCCTTCACCAATTGCTGGTTAAAAATAATTGTTTGTTTTCCCGCTTTATCAAGATTTTCAGCTCACCATTGTTCCACAGCATCATTTTTACTCTTGCAAAGAATGGCTAGAAGTACAAGCAAAGATCTTTCTTTTATAGCACATATGGGAAGATGGTTCCTTTGGCTGAGTGTTGGTTCAGTGGGCATGGAATCCAGACATTTCAAACTCAGGAACTCCTAGTTGGCTAGTTTGGGGCTGTAACTCATGCCCAGCCTTTCCTTTCATGCAACTGAACTAATGGATGTGCTTGGTCTTTCCCCATCAAATTTGGATCCCAGGCTGCTGCTCCAGTGGTAGTCATGAAAGCATCTGACATCAAGTTTAGCTTTGCACCACATCAAGGATAATTCTTAAGACTTTCTTTTGCACATTATTCATGTGGTCTGAATGAATTTATGTATGTACGATAATGCAAAAGCTTTAGGAAATGAACAAAACCTGCTACTCTCATAGTAAGTATTTGAAATAACCTCTTATTTTTAGAAGAAAAGTGAGTCAGAACAAGAAAAGGCAATTTTCATGTTTTGTAGGATACCATATTCTCCAGCTGTTTCTCTATCCCATCACCACCACTCCCAAGACTAAAATATCCTTTGGCGTTTCAATGTGTGTCACTTGAGAGGTCTGTTAACTGAACATCCAGATCTCTTTTAGAGAGGCTGCCATGATGATAACATATGCAAATAGCTTAGTTTTGCTTTTCTTTGACATATTGTATTGTCTGTTCCTCACAGGGTTCAATCCTGTTTGGGAAGAAACTCTCAGCTTCACTATCCATATGCCTGAAATAGCACTGGTTCGCTTTCTTGTTTGGGATCATGATCCTATTGGCCGAGACTTTGTTGGGCAAAGAACAGTGGCCTTCAGCAGCCTTATGCCAGGTTAGTGCATTTGTTTACCTGTCAGTTATCTGCAGGAACCCCAAGACTTCTGCCTACATGTAAAATTCTAAAAAGCCTGTGCTGCTGCTGTGGATTTGTCAAATACAAGAGGACCAAGCAATTCTCCTTCATAGCCCAGGGTCGGAATCTGATTCCAGACAGATGTGAAGGAATGATGTTGGAGAGACTCTGTAAACCAGATTGAGTGATTTATCATTCGTAAGGTGTAGTGTGTTATGTCAAGCTTAGGAATGTATTTCTGGCCTTTTTGAAATTATGACTAGAAGTAGTATGATCAGAAGTACTCATTTTTTCCCTCCATTCCTTAACCGAAGTTGTGTATATGAATGAATTAAAAATATATTTCAGAATAAATAATAGGAAACAGTTGAGTTGTACTCATTGTAAAAGAATAGGAAATAATAATTGTAAATAATCAGAAAGTGGAGCTGTAAAAGCAGTAGCCAGAATTCTGTTAGTATTAGTGTAAAATCTGTGTAAATTGCGATGGTATATTATACCTAATTGATGAGATGCTGGGGCACTCTTTCATCGTGTGTGGTCACCTACCTCTTTATCCTACCACCTCATCAATTAGCTAATGCAGGTTGTGGACATCTTATACAAATTCTATTAGGATTCCAGCCAGTATGTAACAATACCGGCCAGTTACATGATCTAGTTCAGATGATCTTCAGACTCATTTGTGTTTCCTTGTTCTCTTCTCCTCTCCATAACTTTTCCACATAGTATAGACCAAGCCACAGTTCCATGTTGCTTCTAGATTTGTAGAACTAGAGTTTGTTGTCACTAAGATTAATTTAAATAGACCTGGATCAGACCATGGTTTCAAATTCTTGTTTGTTCAATAAACTTGGTTAGTACAAATCTTAGTTCCCCAGTTTGTGTATACATAAGGACTGTGGCTGTTTTAAAGAGGTTTTCCTCTCTTCTTGAGGACTTAAACAAGGGAGAGCACGTGGACTCAAGGTTTGCTGTTGCTCATTCTCAATCTCCCAAACCAGTTCTATTTGCCTTTTATTGATATATCATGTATAGTTTGGTGTGTGAAACACTGATTTCTGACTTCCACTTTCACAGGCTACCGTCATGTTTATTTGGAAGGATTGACTGAAGCCTCTATATTTGTTCATATAACAATAAATGAAATTTATGGAAAGGTAAGATGGGTGCTGTTATCTTTTAGTTTTCATTTCTGAAAGAATTAATTTTTACCTATATAAGGATTTCATTCTGTCCAACTATCATGGACGGTCTGCTTACCAAGTTGGGAAATAAGCTGTCCAGAATCATTCTACGAAATGAAGAAAGTAGTAGAATAGTAGAAGAAAGAAGATCAGGCGGGAGGGGGATTGCATGGAAGTTAGAAAATAAATCTGCATTGAAGCATCAAGTTTGATTATAAAACAAGAGTTTTCAATGTTTAATAAAAACCATCCCTCTGAAGCAGATGAAGAATTTATGTTTATGTAAGACAGATCCTGGTTCTTCCACATAAAAAAGGTAGCTCCACTGAAGTCCAGTGTTGTCCCCCCATCCTGATGAGTCTACCTTCTTGCCTTCTTACCATCCTGTACTTCTCATGGGCCCCCATGAAAGTTTGCAATTTAAATCTAGAACCAACCTAAATAGAAAAAAGTTAGATATCTGCACTATGTATTATCATATCAGTGCACTATCCAAGCAGATGATGGCTGAAACCCTGTTGCTTAGTGTGTAGTAAGTCACAATTAGAGTAAGCCCATTGTACTGATGGAACTTATAGAGGAATCGACTTACCAAATCCCTATTGATTTGCACCTATTCTAGTTGCAACATACTGTGCTAAGCAACAGGATTTCAGCTACTGGGTACCTAAGATGCCGGTGCTGTGCACATCGACAAAGCAGCCTGGTTTAAATGACATACTCTGCAGGTAAGTTCTTGATTCTTGGTCACTGTCATCATCACTTTTAAAACATCATAATGATCAGTTCAAAAGATATGGTTCCCTACTTCATTTTGAAGAAAATGTACAGTAATCTGCTCATTCCCGGCTTTCAGGCTACGCCTGGCAAAAAGGGGAGTCAGAGCCAGTGCTACTGCTGGGCTGAGTGAAGCAGGCAATTTGATCAGCAGATACTGAGCAGTAATGGCAAGGTGATAGAGGAGAGAGCTATATGCTCTATGGCACAAGTATTGCCCTTCACCCTGTAAACTAGGCTGCCTTCAGATGGAAGATGTCCCATCTTCAGTGTTGAAGAAAGACTCAACTGCTAGTTTGGAATGATAGTGGACATGAAAAATACATTACAGTGGCTTCTGATGGTGCCCCTTTGCACCTTACTCTCCATGCAAGGAACAATCAAGTCTGTGGTCCAAAGTCATTATTATTGAATAATGTAAGGGTGCGAACCTGCAGTTACCTCGTATTGCAGATCATAGCATGATCATTCAGCTCACACCCAGTGCACAGATGCTTGATATTTATTCAACTGTTGATTCAGGGTTTTAAGAAACTCATTTGTCAGTCACTATGTTGGCTGATAAAAGATATGCATGTGATATACAAAATGACACAAAGTATGTGCAGCAACATGCCTTCTTTCAGATGTGTATGTAAGTTCTAAATGGGCTATAATATGCCAAGTCCTCTATGACTGTCCCTGCATTTCAGAGCTTGGAAAGTTACTTTTGGCCATAGTGACCTGCGTATTCTTGAAAATATAGTCCAAAAGAGTAACATTTCTGAAGCGTCCCTTCTTTCTACACAATCTTGCAGGTTCCATCTCCTTTCATGAAAAGGGAAATTGGCTATTTCTCCATTAGTGAATTGTATGCTAGTGAGGGAACCAATATGATGTTTACAAGGTATATCTTCCCTGGAAAGGGACTTGGCCCAGTCACTTATATCTCTGAGAGAACAAAGTTATAGAGCATTCATTTCTCAACAAATTGCTGACAGCAGTCTTACTTGGAATTTCTTTTGCCTTGTTTTAAAAGGTAAATGTTTTATGTTTGAGTTTGGTCTGGATTTATTTTACTGCAAAGTTGCTGCTTTTCCTCGCATTTTTGAAGATAGGGAATTTTAAAACTTGTTTCAAGTTTTAAAATGGGAAAAAGGACATCATATTTTATCTTAAGCGCTTTTAGCTTAATTTTTGTTTTGCCAAAGGTGAATATTTCATTAGATGAGGCCCATGCTTTGTATCCAGAAGGATCTGGATTCATAACCTGGTGACTCTCGAGGTAGGGCTGGGAAAGACGATATCTAAGAGAAAGCAATAACGAACTTGTTGGGCCAGTGGTCTGGTGTAGTAAAAAGCATTTTCTTACCAGGCATTTAAGAACTAGAATAAGAAGAGAACAATAATATACAGTAATTGTTATATTTGAAGGAGAACAGAAGATACAACATACATTTGAAAAAAATAAAATCTAAGCTATAAACAAGTATTTGAAAAAAAAAGTGTTAAAAATTTTAATGAGGGCTTTTATATCAAGAATACAACTGGAAGTTGGTGGTTTTTGCGGATTCCTTTTACTGCTTAGTAAAGGTATCTGTCTTTAAAGGCAACGTTGGTGCCTGCAAGCTGCTTGCTTGCTTGGTGGCTCAAGGGTTTTGATTGTGGCAGTCAGCCATATTAGCAGCTGTTTTCATTTTAGGACAGGAGGCTGATGTATATTTCGGGCCCACCTCATCAATTTTAACATCAAACACATCATTAACAATAATACTAATAATTTTTTTTGTGAGCACTCGTGATTGTACTAGTTAGGGGTTTTAGTAAGCCTTAAAAGGTGATGAGTGTAACAAATTTTGGAAATGAGCTCTGAACTCACCTTTAAATTTCACTGTGTTGCCAAGCCACAGCATAACAGAACACAATGTAGAACTAGTCCTGTTTTAAATCAGGTCCAGAAAAGTACTTTTCCTTTAGATTATATATAATTCACCAATTTTCTTCTGATGGCTGTATTTGGATGTAAAAAATATTTTTTAAGTAAAAGATTGGACTCTAATCTTCCCTGATACAGTCATGAGCACGATCAGAGGCTTTTACTTCCATTTTCAATAAATCAGGTTGTCATTAATTAAATCTGATTCTGATTCTGAAACTTTTAATGGCATTCAAACTACAACAACACAAGCAAAATGAGAGAGGTAAAATTACACAAATTAGAAGCAGGAAGAAGGGGACAGTCATTAATCAAATCCTGTATAAAGTATGGTTAGTCTTAACTATAGTTTACTGAAATAAGACAACTTGTTTCATTAATCTGGTTTGTTTCAATGAACCATAATTAAGATTGATTTCTGTTGTTATGTGTTGTCAAATCAGATCCAATTTATAAAATGAAGAGTAATCCTTTCAAAATGCCCACAAGTAATAAATAAACACCATTCTTACACAAAAGTGTACCAATGCTACCAATCCTTATATTACTTGAATGCCACTATACCATTACTACCCTTTAAAGTAATGCAGAACTTGTGATGTGTTACTTCCAAGCTGTGATCTAATATATATTATAACATAAATTTCCATGGGCTACAATCTACTGTACATGTTATATTTTTGTACTAAAGAACAATGTTGCTGGTTCTGCTCCTTAGAACGACAGTGTGGAAACTAGTTTTGATTGAGTAACCTCTCTTATAGTGGGATTGCTCTTGATGTAATATACAGTCAACCATTGACTTACGAACGTCCCTACATATGAACGTTTCGATTTACGAACGGCACCATTCACAAAAATTGGTATCAACTTGCAATCGGAGCCTTGACCTACCAACAAGGTCGAGGCTCTGTTCACAAGTCAATGCCATTTTTTGAGAATGGAGCCATTTGTTGCCTTTGGAGGTCTCAAAGGACTTTCCGCCCGACATCAGAGGAAGCCCTTTGAGATCTCCAAAGGCAAAAAGGCAGGGAGAAAGGGCTGAGACCGCCGATCGCGGTGGTGGGGGCCCCCAGGGAGTTCTCCCAGGGCTTGCCTGCTACCATGGGAGACCTCCCTGGGGGTCCCCGCCGCCGTGATCGGCACCTTTTGAGGTCTCAAAGGGCTTTCCGCCCGACATCGGATTTGGAGGTCTCAAAAGACTTTCCGCCTGACATCAGAGGAAGCCCTTTGAGACCTCCAAAGGCGACGAACGGCTCCATTTGCAAAAATGGGGGGGAGTCCTTTGAGAGCTCCGAAGGTAATTTTTTGAAATGCTGGAATGGATTAATTCCATTCCCATGTATTTCAGTGGAAAATGGTACTTCGACTTACAAACCTTTTGACATACGAATGCTGTTCCAAAACGGATTAAGTTCGTAAGTCGAGGTACCACTGTATCTTGACTTCAGCAAAGCTTTTGACAAAGTGCCCCATGATAGTCTTATTAGAAAGTGGAGTGTGAGCTGGATAGAACAACTATATATTGTTCACAATAAAACTTCTTGAATAGACTCATTTTCCCACTCTGTTTGTTAATGGTGTTTTGTTGTCAGATAAAATAGTTCTTTTGTTTTTTAGAATGAGCCGAATGCTGCTGTTACGAAGCACACCCTCCTTCCCTTCCTCTCACTGTCTACGTAGAGTCTGGGTCTACTACTTTTAGTGTCTTCTTGTGGCTTTTTGTTGCTTTGAGTAACTCTCCTCTCCTTAACTTTCTCTTCCTTGATGCGGGTTTACCTTTATTGCTGTTTGGATATAAAATGTTATGTGTTGACTCAGGTCTTCAGTAATAAAGGTTTCATTCTTTATTAAAAGACAGTTTTGGATAAATGAGTATTCGGAAGCCATAGGCATATTCCAGGGTGTAGATCAGAGGAACGCGCCAAGTTAAAATATGTAGACTATGAAAATTTTGTGACCAGTTGCTAGATAGTAAGATAGATCTTTCCGTTGTTTCTCTAAGGGCCTTCATCTTTTTTATCTTATATGCAGAGAAGAGCACGTAAGTTAGCAAAAGAAGAGAAATTTGCTAATTATTTTTTTTAAATGTGGAACCAGATGCCTAGGGAAATGCTGTAAAAATTTCCTTAGTGGGTTTTTTTTAATTTCTTAAAGAAAGTGGCAACTGTAATGTGAGTTGCAACAGGTCCCACATTAATCTGTGTCCCTGGATCTTTGGGATACTCCACATGGAAAGTCTGCAGTGTCAAAACTGAACAAGTGAAGCATCACAACCAGAACCAGCCCCATGTTGACTAATGTATTCTGGAAATTTAATTTAGAAGGCTCCAGGTTAAGGATGGCTGATCTGCCACAAACATTTGATATATCACATTGTTTTCTTCTCACTGGATTGTGGAAATTAGTTCGACATGTCTGCCTTTCTTTGCCTTTCAGTGGAGTCCCTTAGTCCTCAACCCCAGTTATACTATAATGCACTTTCTAGGAGCCACCAAGGTAGCCTTTCTTTAGCATGCACATCTGCACTTGCTGGGCAACTGTTTTCTTTTGCGAGAGCTATTCCGAACTGCATGATCCATAGTTGCCATGTAATTTCATTTGCCATCCAAAGTTTGAAACTGTGTGCTGCTGTTTTGAAAGGGCCCATGCCATAAAACTCCATGTCCTAAGGCAAGGCAGCCTCTCACTCCAGGACATTTCTTGTAAGCTTGTCATTTGTAATTAGGAGGCATCTTGTAAAGCTCCTTTGCCATCATGACAGGCTGCCTTCCTGATAAAGAGAAATTCTCTCATACGTGCATGAAGTCATGGTAAGCTGTGCTTGTTTTCTCCTCAGTTGACTAGATGTGGAATTGTTTGGGTCAACAGCTCTTTTTTGCTTGCTTGCCTGCCTGCTTGGGTTTCCTTTTTTATTCGTTGCTCAGATAATATGTACACACAACAGTTTAACTAAAAAAAAATAGGCCATATTATGTTTTTAAAAAGGTACTGTTTCCATTCTCTTTCTATTTTTGTTTTAGAATAAGCAATTGATAGGACTCCGAGGGCTTTTTAACAAGAACCCCAAACACAGTACTGTGGAAAACGGTGGTCAATACATTCGGAAAAGGTCAATTGGGGAGCGAATTCTCCGGCGCACAGCCAGTGCTCCAGCAAAGGGCAGAAAGAAGAGTAAAATGGGCTTTCAGGAAGCCACGGAGCTTAAAGAAAGCCTTTCTGAAGCAACAGACCTGAAAGACAAGGAGGGCGTTCTGAGAAGGACAAGCAGGAGCCTGCAAGCACGTCCCATCTCCATGCCAGTTGACAAATATCTTCTGGGCAGCCTGCCATCATCAGAGCAAGATGCTACCGCAGATGCTGATGTGAAAACTAAAAATGCCTCTGGTAAGTTCCTTAAAAAGAGATTTTCTAGATCTTCATCTTACAAGCTATTTAATAGCTCAATTTCCACTTCTGAAACTGCACCCGTGGACACCTACCTAAAAATACAGAGACTTTGGGGTGGCCAGGCTGGCTGTGGGATTCTGGGTGTTGTAGTCAAAAGAACCCACAATGTTCCCAAGATTTGTGAATTGCATCAGTTACAGATGCTGGGAGCTGTCTAAAGACTAACTTTTCTAAAGCTCAGAGAATTCATCTTATAGAGCTCATTGGATCATACTTCTAAGTAAAGGTGAATGGAATTAGGCTGTACAGCAAGCATTTCTTATATATTCTCCCTACATGACTCCATCCACTAGTCAAAGTACTGGGAATCTCTCTGTTCTGTTAATAGAAGTTAGGATTATGAAGAGAGGAACTCCTTGCTACTCTGCAGTGATACCTTGTAGTAGCATCACAGGGGAGAATATTTTAAACCTTTAGGATTGGGTGAGCAGGATGCCAACCACTGTATTATATGTAGTAGCAGGCTACACAAAAATGTTGATTGCATTCCTTGTTGTGTAGGTTTTCTATACCCAATGAAATTGGTAATAATACAGTATTAGAGAGACAGCACTATGTGGGTGCTTCCCTCTCTTACAAATTTTTGGCACTTTCACAAGTTGTCAGTATTGGAATTATATAACCACAGAACTGTAGGGCTGAACTAGGAAATTCACAGTTAAAGCATCCCTGACAGGCCATCGAAATTCTGCTTAAAAGCTTCCAGAGTCCACCACCCTCTGAGGCAGTCCTTCTGTTGTCAAAAAGCCCTTTCTGTCAGGAGGCTCTTCCCAATATTTAGCTGAAATCTTTGGGTTCTGGAAAGACAAGGAGCAAGCTTGCTCCATTTGCTGCATGATAGCCTTTCAAATATTTGAAGATTGGCTATCATATTACTTCTCAGTCTTCTTTAGGTTAATCATGCCCAACTTTCTCAACCATTCATAGGACTTGATTTCCAGACTTTTTGCTATCTCTTCCTCGAGACAATTCCCAGTTTATCAATATCCTTGTTAAACTGTGGTTCTTAGAAGTGGGTACAGTATTATGGCCAAAACAGAATAATGTTACTTTTACTTCCCTCAATCTGGATCCTTTTTGTGTGTACTGTTGCATATAGTTCCCACCCATCTTATAGTCATTAATCAGATTTTCCTGCCGTAATACAGACCTTTACATTTCCCCCCATTGCTAATCATTTGTTTTGGCCCACTTCCAATCTGAATCCCAGTTCTGTCTCATGATATATTAGCTCCTTGTCCAAGTTCAGTGTCACCCTCACATTTGATGAGTATCTCTCCTACTCCTTCATCCTAGTCGTTTATAAAGATGTTGAACAAAACAAGTCCCAGGACAGAACCTAGTAGATCCTGCTTGTCTCTCCTCTCTAGGATGATATTGAATTTTAATTAGTGTAGTTCAGTTAGACTTTAGTTTAATTAGCCTTTAGTTGGACTCTTAGGTAGGGGACCTGTGAAGGCATTGCTGTGATCTTGTCATCCAGCCTTGCATATACATTCATCAGTGATGATGGCACTTGATTGCTCTGAAAGATCACCCAATTTCCCCATATATTTGGCTGTTTCCAGAATGGTAACTCATTGAAGCCTTTGTCTGTTGTTGCTGTTGTTTAGTCGTGTCCGACTCTTCGTGATCCCATGGACCAGAGCACATCCGGCCCTCCTGTCTTCCACGGCCTCCCAAAGTTGGGTCAAATTCATGTTGGTAGCTTCGGTGACACTGTCCAACCATCCCGTCCTCTGTCGTCCCCTTCTCCTCTTGCTGTCAAACTTTCCCAACATCAGGATCTTTTCCAGGGAGTCTTCTCTTCTCACGAGATGGCCAAAGTATTGGAGCCTCAGCTGCAGGATCTATCTCTTACCACATTCAATGGTTGAGTGAACCTTCAACATTTCTTCAGTTCTGTACATTAAGGACAGTCTTTGGCTTGATGCCCTTTCTATGTGTTAGCTTTTAGATGTGTTAGCCTACATTTCTCATTATCTTGACCCAATAGGACTCATGCTAGCTGCAGATCATGGAAGTTGTCATCTAACACATCTGGAGGATACTAACTTGAAAAGGATCATTGAGGAAATAATTGGTATATGCTGGATAACTCAGTAGTTTATGTCTCTGGCTGGGAGACATGAGATTGGGAGTTGGATTCCCCACTGTGCCTCCTTGACAGGGGCTGGACTTGATGATCCATAGGGTGCCTTCCAGCTGTGCAGTTCTAAGATGACAATGATGATTTTTATTATTATATTGAGCATTTGGAGGTATTTGTTCTTTCCTGCGAATTCCCTGCTCTCCCCCCCCAGCCCCATTTGTGCACTAGACTCTTTCTTTATTCGGGTTGGGGAACAACGGATCAGTATATTACAAGTACCAGTGGTGAATTAATTGCTTATAGAGGAAGAAATTCAGCATCAGGCAATATAAATTCAAAATAGGTTTCCCCCCCACATACACACATCCTTTTTTTCTAGGTATGATTTACCTCTCCTTCCATAAATTGTAATGAACTCCATTCACCATAAATAATTAAATTCTGTTTTATTTAATTTTAACTCACTGAAATTACAGGAGCATCCAAGAGTTATGAATACTTGGGAATGAAAACATTTGTAACACTTGTAACCTTTTACATTGTACTAACTTGTTCTCAGTCTGTCCATCTGTCTGTCCTTTATTGTTTGCTAAGCAGACAGTTGTTGTTTTTTATAGTCATGTATAAGGAACTTAAAAGGGCCCCCCTGCGTGCATTCTGTATTAATGCAGAACAGTTAATTCTTCTGGGTTTGCTTGTTTCTGAGATTCTGCTGTATAAAAGATTATGGCAATCTTGTTTGAATACAGAGTGTTCAGTGCTCATAAAGACTGGCGTCTTTCACAGCAGTCTTTGAACTGATCAATTGGAAGTCATTTTTTTAAGGTCAGAACTACATAGATATGAATCAAGCAGCCTCTGTGCTTCACTCTACCGCTGAATGTCCTTCCCTGTTGGTCGGTATGGCGGCTTATGCCCTGCTGATATTGTCACAAAAGTAGTGGCATTATTGGGAGTGGGATAAGATATTGGGTCCAGGAACTGCAGATATAGAGGGAAATAAAGTGTAGCCAGCAGAACTGAAGAATCTAATTCTTTTGAGGAATGTCTAGTGCTAGAAAGCGAGGGGCTTTTCTGAGGCCATGAAGCATGGGGTGTTGGATGTGTAATTTGAGCGTTCTGATAAGCATGCCTCTCCTCTTTGCAGATGGTGTTTTAACAGAGCTGTTTTGTTCTGTCTTTGTTTGCCATGCTTCTTTATAGTACAAATCTGAATAGGAACACAGCTGAAGGTAATGGCACATGTCCGGAATATGGTACCTCATTGACATTCTTTACAATAGTTATTACATCATATATATGATGATGTAATAAAACATTTTTTAAAAAAGCTTCAATGAAGTGCCTCCAATCATAACTTTCCTCATTTCTTCACGTCATATGGCTAGTTTGTACTAAACTTGCACTACCCCATAATGAAGTCTTCTCACAGTTGTGACCAACTTTGCATTCTCCATTTGTTTGTTTCTCGACCAAATACTCATAAGTATGTGAAAGAGTATTTCTAACCAGTGCTTTTCTTTGTTTGCTTTTTCTAAAAAAACCACAACCCCTCAATGTAGCAGAAAGTAAGGACGATACAAGTGAGGACGAAGTGAATTTGAAAGAGCTCATATCCTCTTCTCAGAGACATCCATCTTCTCCAACATTTGTGTCCCCATTGAAACAAGATGTTCACTTGACTGTTCCTGAATATGCAAAACCAGAAAACTTAGACTTTGCAGTTGGGATAGCTGAAACATATTTTTCCACTGAGTATTGGAAAAGTAATCTTTCCAGTCAGTCCATGCATCTAAAGGAGGAACGTGAAAGAGAAAATAATGAACATGTGTCTTGTATGGATCCAAAGATCTTAGGAGATGATACCACACTGCTTGAAGAAGAGAGAAAAGTAGTAACAGCCAGTTCACTTCCTCAAAGAGATCAAGAGTCTGGAATCAAATCACCTATTTCTGTACAAAGCACTGTAACTAGTATATCATTAGCTGACATTTCTTCTGCCTGTTTGGTCCGTGACTTTTACTCCACACCAGCCATACAAGATAGTGACATTTCAAACCTTATCAATGAGGTCTCTTTAACGAATGCAAGCGATATGGGAAGTTCTGTCTCTGCACTAATAGAAGAAGTTGACGTCTCAAGAGACCAAAGCAATTTGACTGTTGTTTCAAACCCTCCTGGAATTAGCAAACAAATAATTAATATGAAATCTGTACCTCTACCATGTGTGTTGCCATCTAGTCAGAATAAAATGTTTGACTGTGAATCTTCCCGCAGAACAACAAATGAATTGGCAATATGTTCAACACCATAAATTACTATGTTATTGAGTCCTGAGAAGACAGAGTGTTCTCTTTCTCCAGCTTCCTACCATGACTCAATGAACAATCTTGCTTGCAAGTATACAAGGCATGCTGTAGAAGATACTTGTACGTTGTCTTCTTGCATTGCACCTACAACTGTGCTGAAGGCAGACCCCAAAAGAAAGTGTAGAACCAACTGGGAATCTCTCAGTGATAGCAACTCTGGTTTTTCTGACACTTCTGATATGGAGCATACAGTTTTTGTCCCATTCGCTTGCGCAGGTTCTACAGGCAGTAGCTTAGTGGAAGTTGGTGGGGAACTTCAAGACCTCTTGATCACTGCCTATGAATACAAGAGGGAGGATATGAGCCAACTTGCTTCTCCGCTGAAATTGAAGCACGATCAAGACACTTTGTATTATAAACCAGTCTGTGAAGAGCTGAGCAATGTAAACCTCCACAATACCAACCACGTTGAAGATTTCAAAGTTAGGAATGAGAAGGAACAAAATATTCCATACTCAGAACACCAAAGTGTTGATCTTTTGTACAACAATTACTTGCAAATTTCAGGCACACGGAATGAATTGCTAACAGTCACCATGCCTAAGAGTGCTCTGTCTTCTCATTCTTCCACAGCTCCAAAACAACCAAGTCCTTGTAAATCCAAAAGTCTTGGAGACTTAACCTCAGAAGATATCTCTTGCAATTTCGAGAGCAAATACAAGTACATTAGTAGAGGTTTTATTACTTCTGGCATGAGAGACAAAATGGTGGCTTCTCTGAAGGCTAAGAAACCTCAAAGCACAGATGCTCTAACACAGCAACTGCGAAAACTAGTGTCTTTTGATCAGGAAGATGATGGCCAGTCCTTTTGTTCCAAGCAGGAGGAGGATTGCCCCAGAATGTTGGTCAGAAAATTGTCATCCAGAAGTCAAAGCAGAGTGCGAAACATTGCTAGTCGTGCCAAGGAGAGACAAGAAGCCAACAAACAAAAACTTTCTAATGCTAACAGTAACACAGCTGGGGTAGTCCTTCGAAATAAACCTCCTACCACTCCTCATATTATCAACAGACATTCCACTGGTTCCTACATTGCAAGCTATCTGGATAACTTCAGCCCAGATGATCTAGAAGGCAGAGGCGTTCCAGAAGGCGCATGCACATCTTTGCGCTTTGGGCACAGGGACCAGTTTTATGTTGATGATTCTCTTTTAGAGACGAAGTCAAGTGAAGATGATAAACCAGAAATTTATTTTCTCCTGAGACTGTAAATTGTATACATGTACATCTTTGTTGTTTACAAGCTTTCTTGTTGAATGAAGGATTATCCATACGTAATGCAACCATTAGCATTGAAATTACTCAGAAATGTATTTTTACTACGGTTTGATTCTTGTCTGGAATTAATGTATCTGTTTCAATGAATGTTTATGTAAATAGATGTTGTAAAATGTGACATCTCATTTTTTAAAAAACTACACAGACACATTTGTTGTTCTTTGCTTGACATTAGATGCAATTAGTCCTGGTGTCTTGTTTTTGCAATGCATGTACAACAGAATTTGGTACAGCTGTCAGTGACCACAAAATGCTACATTCAGTGAAAACCCTTCTACTTTTCTATCCTTATTAGTTAGTTCTAGGAAATTCTAGAGCAGTTATCTGGTGAAATTCCATCTTCAATATGTGATCAAAATTTTTGAATTGATACTTTTGTCACTGAAAAAAATGATATTGAGAAATACTTAGCCACTCAAATGTAATCCAGTAACCAGAAGCAAAAAAAGAGGGCCATTTCTGAATTTTTTTTTAAAAAAGTTGAAACGTTATTGAAATGCATTTTTCATTTTCAGGATGCAGATTTCAAAATGGGCGTCTGTATGAAAAAGAAACTAATAACAAAACCAGATTCATGTATATAGGGACGAGTTCAGAAATTGGTTTTTGGTGTATGGTGAAAGATTTTCCCACCACAGTCACCCTACTTTTGATATACGCTGGAGGATTTGGTCTGTATTTGGAGTGCTCATAGCCTGATTTTCTTCAGTGCTTGAACTGTTCTGAATATGTGTTGGAAATATTATGCCCCTTGACCATGAAGACAAAAGGTCATCTCTTATTCATAAAAATTTATATAGAGCATATACTCTTGCATTTGTGTCTTGAATTATGTGTCCTGTGTTTTGCCACATTGATTCCAGCAATACTCCTAAGAATTTTTGATCTGCACAGAAGTACTAACTTGCTGCTCTAACTAGTGATCTTACATGAACAAAGTCTCAAAATTTGTCTCATACAGTGGTGCCTCGCTTAACGAGCGCACCGTTTAACGACGAATCTGCATAGCGATGTCGCTTTTGCGATCGCAAAAGTGATCGCATTGCGACATTTAGATAGGCAAAAACTCACATTGCAATGTTTTTACAACAGCTGATCGGCGGTTCCAAAATGGCCACCGAGTGCCCAAAATGGCCACCGCAAGTGTTTTCGCGCCCTGCCCTTGCTTACCGAGGGCGCAATAATGGCGGTGCTATGGAGAAACTTCGCTGAACGGTGAGTTTGGGCCCCATAGGAACGCATTAAACTAAGTTTAATACGTTCCTATGGGTTTTTCGATCCGTTTAGCGATGTTTTTGCATAGCGGTGATTAATCCGGAACGGATTAACGTCGCTATGCGGGGCACCACTGTATTTAGTTCCCAGTACATGGCTCATTTTCTTGTTTTGACACTGGCATGGTTGATCAAACATTTTGCCATATGTTGGTGCCACACTTGTTTGAGTAAATATCTTCTGTTCTACTGCAGAAGTCCACAAAGTGCAGCTCTTCAGATGTTGTTGGATTACAAATCCCATGAGCCCTAGCCAGCCCTGTCAGTGATGAGAAATGCTGGGAAGCACCATCCAGCAACATTTAGAAGATTACACTTAGTCCCCCCCCCCCATTCTCTTCGGTCATTCTTGTGTAAGCCAAATAGAAATTCATCCCATGGAGTTGGATCTTATGCTATTATAGAGAATTAAGTAAAACGTATATATTATTTCAGGATAACCTCTTTAACTTGAATCCCCCTCCAGATGTTGAACTGCAGTTCCCATGATGCCCTGACCATTGGTTTTGCTGCCTAGAACTATTATTGGTCTTATATGCTGTCAAGGCACTTTTGATTTATGGTGACCCTATATATGAATGACTTTCAAAAGCTCCTGGCATTAACAGCTCTACAGTTAGTCTTATAAACTAATGGTGGTGGCTTGGCTCCCCTTATTGAGTCAATCCATCTCATGTTTGTTGTTCCTCTTCCTGTTGCCTTCATTCCCCTGCCACGGCATTATTATCTTTTCTATTGAATCTTTCTTCTCATGATGTGCCCAAAGTATGATAGCCTCAGTTTAGACATATTGCTTCTATGGCAGTGGTTCCCAATCGTGGGTCCCATGATGTTCTTGGACTACAACTTCCAGAAATCCTTGCTAGCATAGCTAGTTGTGAAGGTTTCTGGGAATTGTAGTCCAAGAATATCTGGGTACTCAAGGTTCTGAACCACTGTTCTAGAGGTCACCTTGGGCACTTTCAAGGAGAAAGGTGGAATGAAAATAAATAAATAAGAAATTAAAAAAAGTTATATAACTTCTGCAGCCAAGGCTCCCAGGCTGAGGTAGCCAGATCAAGGTTGGCTCACCTTCCCATCCTTTCAAGACTGGTACAATGAGTACCCATCTCATTGGTAGAGGCAATGTACAGTTTGCATAATTGAATTGTAAACTATCCAGAGAGTGCTCTAAGTGCTATGGAGAGGTCATTGCTGCTTTCTGCCAGTCATAAGGCACTATCTGCATATCTTAAATTATGGATGTGTCTTCCATCAATTTTCACATCTTCTTCATCTGCATCTAATCCAGCTTTCCGTATGATATATTCTGCATATAGATAGAACAGATAAGGAGAGGAAATACACCCTTGTCTTTCCTTGTGTCTTCCAATAGAAATACACCCTTGTCTGACATCTTTCCTTGTGTCTTCCAATGTTTTAACAGTATATTCTTGACCACAAAGAGCAGGACAGTAAAATGTTGCAGCACACCCATTTCTTTAGAATAATCCATAGTTTTCATGATTCATCCAGTCAAAGGCCGTGGTTAATTACCCATGTAATCCATATTTTTTAAAAAAATTGGTTTAGAAAGTCCATATCAAACCCTGATATCAAAGGATTCTAGCTAACATTAGCCATTATTTTCACACTGCGGATATAATGCTATATTATTTCCCTTTATTGTAAGAGGGACAGCAAGGAATAAAGGATAACTGGGGGTGGGGGGAGCAAAGGCAAAAAATACATGCAAGCCAAAATTATGGCTTTAAGTACTTGCTATTTAATTAAATTCATGGGAACCATTTGGTCTTCCTTTTCCTATAGAAGCTCTTATGTATGTCTAGGTAAAGGTAAAGATTCCCCTGACAAATGTCCAGTCATGTCCGACTCTAGGGGGCGGTGCTCATCCCCATTTCCAAGTTGTAGAGCCAGCGTTTGTCCATAGACAGTTTCCATGGTCACATGACCAGCATGACTAGACATGGAATGGCGTTACCTTCCCCCCATGGTGGTACCTGTTTATCTACTCGCATTTATATGCTTTTGAACTGCTAGGTTGGCAGGAGCTGGGACAAGTGACGGGAGCTCACTGTCCTGTGGATTCGATCTTACAATGGCAGGTCTTCTGACCTTGCAGCACGGAGGCTTCTGTGGTTTAAACCGCACCCCTACCACATCCCTTATGTATATCTAGAGTCTATTAAATATCGATTGCTAATGGACATAAAGGTGAGGTAAAAACAAATTTGGTTTTCCACTTATTTGTTCCGTATATTTGGCTGTGAATGCAATTGAAACACAGTTAGCAAACCTGTACGTACTGAAGCCACATTTACTGGACAAGCAATGGAAAAAGGAGCTATGTTTTTGCTATCCTGTGGCTTTGAGATAAGGGCTTTTTTGTTTGCTGGAGGTGCCACATTTACTGGACAAGCAATGGAAAAAGTAGCTATGTTTTTGCTATCCTGTGGCATTGAGATAAGGGCTTTTTTGTTTGTTTGCTGGAGGTAGAGTGTAGAGTCATTGAAAAGTACACTCCCTATATATATTCCTCCTATAAACTTAGAATAATGCACCTATATGCACATCTATCTCCTAGGAGTTTTCTTTGCAATATATGATTATTCATTTTTTTGCATTTTTCATTCTGTATAAAACATATGTACCTAATAAATACCTCTTTTCTTTTGTAATGCAGGATATTATAATTTGTATTCATGGAAGGTGAACATTAAAATAAATTTTTAGCACCCCAAGGAAAACAAAGTTGAATGACTGCAAAGTTCTTCTGTTTTGTCATTCACATTCACTCTTTCCAAAGGAAATAAATTCTTCCTAATTCATGATATACAATTCTGTTTAAAACATAACTTGTTATTTTTTTTAACCTTTCCTCTCCTCTAACTATATTTTTTGCCTTTATGTCACAGAGTTGACTAATGAAACTCTTTAGTAGATAGAGGAGTCCAATTGAGACTTGTGTTATTCACATTCGTTGAGTCAAAGAATCACACACACCATCCCTGTTTCAGTAGAAAAGTCAAAATAGACCCATTTGTGTTATGACAAAACTACACTACAGTGTCTCTGTGAAAAGTGATGAAATGCTTTTTAAAAAGGACTCTGCATTTTGCTAGGAAAAAATGACAAGGAAAAATTAAGGACTTTATTGTCAGAAAAACTAGGAAAAGAATGGAAACTTAAAAGATCAAAATCAGGTGGTTTTTTTCCTGCATGCAATAGTACAATTGTGGCGTTAATTGAAACTAATTAACAAGGTGCTGGTTGTCTGACCTGCACTTTAGCCATTCCTTAACCTCCATTTAGCCACCAGTTCTGTAGCTGCATTACCAAACATGAAAAAGACCAGTAGGATTTGGGCCAAGGAAAGGTAAACTAAGGAAATGGGCTGAGATGCGGAGATGAAAGAAGTTTGACATCGTGCATAAGATCTGTGTCAGATGAAAGGATCTGAAATCTTTTTTGAGGTCTGATTCTAGAAAGAACTATGCCTTTTGGAACTGTATTTGGCCTGTAAATAGATTTGGTGCTCGAAGGCAAAATGCATGTTTACAGCTGTGGATCAATGACAAATCTGTCTTTTCTCAGCATACTTTGCACTCTACATGACTTGACAGACTTCAGCTGACATGTCTTAGCAACAAACCACACTAACACTCCTTAAGCCTTCCAAATATGTTTCATCATAAAAACAGGATATATTTTATGACTCATTCAAACTTTAGGAGCTCTCCCAAGTCCTGAACCGATCTGGGGACTAGGATAGGACGTTAGCTATCTTCTATAAAATCCAGACTAAATCTGGTGTGGATTTAGTGCCACTCGTGTCTGAATAAAAACATGCAAAAGAGACTAAATATGGATTGGTTCATCTGTTGATGTCCAAAATAGGATCTTCCTGATGGCAACAGAGAAGGCAGTACTGCCAACAATATTTTGAAACTCTATCTTGGAATTAATTAAACACCAGTCCTGAAAATACATATCATGACCATATGATTTATTAATGCAAAAGGGTGCTAAACTGGAACCTGTTCAATTAAAATCCTACTTCAGCTAATGTTAGTGTCATTCAATTTCACTTGGAAACAGGATGACTCCCCAAGGTTATGGAGATTAAAAGTTTTGATCTAAGACAGTTTTTCACGTCCTACTGTGTGGAGGTTTGACAGAATTTCCCTACACACAAAGCTACACAAAAAGATCAACTTGCTCCCTCACACATTTTATTTTCTCTAGAAGAAGGTTGCTCTGAATGAAGGACATTCAGTCAGGAGAGACTTCATGCACAACCCAAAATGATACAGCTAGGAGACCGGCTTTAAAAAAAGAAGAAAAAAATGAAAACAACAGCTCAGCGCTGGGCAGGACAGATGAAGCAAGAACACATTAAATAAAGTACATACCACATGCTGGAAGTTTTAAAAGTGTTTCCGGAAGGACATATTGCACACTTGGCAATTTAATAGGCTGGAAGAAAAAAGGCATCATTCAAAAAAGTGATGCCATAATAGCAA